CTAATTCTCGTCAGTCTCCAATCTTCTGAAGCATAACGAACAAGTTCTTACATGGTGAACGAATTCTTACAGAGTGAATAAATTCTTACATGGTGAACAGTACAAGGGCAGTCATCACAGAAACTTTCGGTTTTGATCATGCAATATGACCTATAAACCATCAGGTCAAATATGAATATTCATTTGATTTTTGTACTTGATTTATATGTTGATCCCACATTTTGGGAGTTTGTTTTTTACAAGAGTGTTATCTTGCTGGAGTCCATCCATCTACATCATTGCCTCAGTAAACCACAGCTGGGCAGAAAGACTGCCCCAAAGAACAGTAACAGTACACTTAGAATAAGTGAGCTTTCACTCACCCAGAAGAAGTACTAGTATCGTAATCACTGACTCCTGGCTCTCAGGCAGCCTTCACTGCAGCGTGCTCCCAGGGCTCCCAGTGTGCACTGATCTCAGGCTCTGCAGGGCAGGCAGGGCAGCTGCATCTCACAGAGGAATGGTGGGGACAGGCAAGAGCAACTGTGACCAGGCAGCTTTAAGAACAGCTCGGCACAGACTCCGAAACTAGAACCAACCAATCCCTTTGAAAAGTCAATCATAAACCTTAATGTATTTCACATCTTCTGACCTAATACTTCTGCTTCTAGGAGTTTATCCTAAGGAAATAACCCAATATACAGAAGAGCTTTTCGCACAGAGATGTTCCTCAAAGCTTTAGTTATAAGGGTAAAAACTGTCAAAAACTGCAATACCCAACAATAAGAGCACAGTTTAAAAAGTCAAGTACACATACACAAAAGAATATTATGCACCAATTTTAAAGCATATTTATAAAGAAAACACTCAAAATATAATGTTAAAAGGGAACAATCAAGTTATAAAACTGAATATATATATATATATATATGATGAACAGAGTTCTGTTAGAAGAAACTAGCACAGGAAAAAGAATGAAAGGAGGCAAGCCAAAATGTTAACAATGGAAAGGTCCATATGGCAAGAATATGTGTAGGTAATTATTTTTCTTCTTTTACATTTTCTGTGCTTTCCAAATTTTCTTACAATGAGCAGATATTACTTGTACAGTAAAAAATTGTTTTAAAATAGTATCTAAATGATTAAAATCATTTTTAAATTACACGTGCTGAGAAAACCAAAAACAACGTGTAAGTTCCTATATGCAAGGATCAGACTAAGAACATCATAATTAGAAAGTTGAATTTCCAATACATATCCAAGTGGGTATACCTACATTCGCAAAGGAAGCAAGATAGAGGAGCAGACTTCTAACCACACAGGCAGGCCAGCAGGGACACAGAGCCTTCCAGGCTCCCACCACCCATCACGGCAATTTCATGCAATTTAAAACAAACAGTAGGTATGCCATGCAAACACAGCTTCACACATGTCTCACAGGCTTCCCTCCCAGCTAGACTGCAGCCCTTAAGTCCTTCTTAAATAGGAATCCTGAGAAGCCCCCAACCCCATTGATGAGAACTGGAACATAAAATGAACTGACAAATTTTTTTAAAGTAAAAGTATGGTTAACTGAATAGTGACTCTTGTCTTGCCCTAAAAGAAGATTGAAAGCCAAGGAAAAATTCCCTAACTCCTTCACCACTTCAGGTACCTAAGTCAAGGTTCCTTTCCACTAGCCTAGAGAATGAGCAAAGTCAGTGAGTCTTCAATTTCAAACACTAAGATGTTAACACCTTTAGTTGTCCCTGGATAAGACTAAAGTCACAAAACAGAAAAGCACACTAACTAAGGGGGTGAGCCCAGCCTCCTTCTAACCTCTATCTGAAATACAGCTTTGCCAGCTTCTTAGGCAGGGAGAGAGGATCAACTCTTTCATCCTACATCATAAGTAACTTTCATCAACTTTGTAGTCAAAGAAAGACAAAAAGATCAGGCAAAGAATAAAAATGGTGAGCTGAGTCCATACAAACTGACCTTTAGAGAAGGCCAGGTACTTCCAGCTCCTTTATTTTACCCCTCATTATTTCTGAGAGTTATCAGGAAGCCAAACCATTGTCCTACAGGTCCTAGTATGCCCAGCTCTCATAGCTAACGGTTGACACTTGACAGATTTCTTAAGAACAGGTACATTAGTTATCCTGATCATCCCTGTTGAAGGAGTAGGACCAGTCAGTTCCTTTTTTCAAGATTTGACTCTCTCAACTCAGCTCTAACCATGCATCTCTGTACAGTGCTGGTTCTCAGTGCTTGCCAGACTGTCATGTGCATGGGCATGTGGGGATCTCATCAGGATGCAGGTTCTGATACAGCAGGGCTAGGTGACACAGAGCCCAGTAAATCTCAGTTTCTGAGGGTGAGACCCAGGCAGCAGTAGGCTCCCCAGGTGACCCCCATGTGCAGCTGAGGTCACACACAATGCTGGAAGATTTGGAAGGAACAGTGGGATAGATCCAGGCCCTGGCTACTGAGTATGCCCCTGCACCATAAGCACATAGAGCAGGCTAACACTGGCCTCACAGTCTTTCTGAATAGTGACAGGTAACATAGATAAAGCCTGCAAGTAAGTTCTGATTATTACTCAGGTAGGCTTATGCAACTAGGAAGAGGCCAGATTTGTAAGGAAATGAAGTTCTTGGGAAAGCTATGAGTTAAAAATAAGCAATAACTGGGAGGGACTTGGAGATGGGAGGCTGAGAGCAACTGTGGGAAGATGACACAGGGCCCTGGGCACAGGCACCGACCAGAGTGTTAACAGTCATAACAGCTGCCATTTACTTGGGCCTTCATTAACATGCCAGGCACTGTCCTAACTCCTACAAATTCTCCAGCAAGAACCTAGGGGTGTCCCTTATTCAAAGCCTACTGTCCCAAGGCCCCAGACTCAGGCTACCCTGGGATCTGATAGGTGGGGGCTTCCTTTCCCTCTGGGCAAAGGAACTGCAGAACACCCTGCAAGGGGTGAGGGCTGCACATGACTGTCTAAGTGTGAGCCAGCTGGACCCATGCCAGGCCCTGGACAGGAGGAGGCTGTGCCTGGAGTCCTGCTGGAGGGCACCCTGCTACCCCCCACTCCAAGGTCAGGCCCCTCTGGAGGGCTGAAAGACTGGGCCCTGGCAGTGAGGCAGGAGCCTCAGGAGGCAGGTAGAAGAGGGCACAACTGCAGGAGGGGCTCAGGGCCCAGGTGGCAATGACAACTGATGAGTGAGGGGATGAGGCTGGTCTGCATTTGGAAACCTGTGCAGCTTGGCCTCAGGCTCTTATTTTCCCATTCTCTCTTCCTTCCTTCTATGTTCTTGTTTCCTCTTCCTCTCAAAGCTGTTGTAAGAGCTTCCTCCCATGCACCTCTTAGATTCCTCTCCTCCCCAGGAAGAAGAGTTAAAGGGCAGTGTGCCTGGCCACCTCACAGAGGTACTTGGTGTCACAGCCTGAAGTAGGAAGGGGAATTCCATGACGGAGCAGCCCCTGTGACTGAAGCAGCTGGAGTGTACATTAACAGAGGACAGGGCAGGGTTCCCAGTCAGCCAGTCTGGAAGCCTGAAGATGGTTCAAGAAAGCTCAACTTTGTGTGCTCGTGTGTGCTTTCATTTAAATCATTTGAATCATGCTTTGATCATCATCATGGACCCTGACCACCCTACGAATACACCCCCCAGCACAGGCCCCGGGATAGAGGCTCCTATACACACACAGATGCCAAGAGGTCTGAGGAGTTCGCTCTGAGGTCTGAGCACCCAGAGAAGCAAGGCACAGACCAGGTGACCTGGCTCCACACTGTGGCTCTGTGGCACAGGCAGCCCTGCCAGGGGAGCAGCGAGCTCTGAACTGTCTCACATATGTCTCTCATTTTTCCTCAGAGCAGCACCCTAAGAGCTACACAGACCATCTCCCTTACAAATGAGCAAAGGGAAAGGAGCTCAGTGACTAGCCAGCCAGGAAGGCTGAGTACAGTCCACATACGTGGGCTCCAACCCTGAGCTGCAGCCCCTCCAGGCCACCCACAGCGTGACCTGCTCTCTCCACAAAATGTGAAAAGCTACACGTTTTTAGGACTCACAGAACCAAACAACATGGTCGCTTCTTGTGACTATTCCACTGTCTTTTAAAATAAAAAACGTTTTAAACTCTTTTTATTTAAAAATGTTTAACCTGGATTCCATGAGGTTCAACTTCATGGCCCCATTTTATAAATGAGAAGCCAGAGGTGCAGAAGGACTAAGTGACTTCTTGGGATGTTGAGTGAATAATACAAGGACAGGACCCAAATTCAACAGCCTCTGTGTCTCAGGCCACAGCTCTGGGGCACCAGCCAAACTGAGTGAAATCTCTGCAAAATGTGCAAGCTGGCAGCCAGGCGGCCAATCAATGTTAAATACTGATGCCGGGGGAGCTCATTCATAAAAGGATTCTAACCACAAGTTAGTTAGGCAGAGTCGCCACTCCACCACCACGTGCACACAAATAAACCCGAGGAAGAAAACTACACATGGGGAGGGGAGCCTCCTCTTTAGCAATAACCTTATTCCCTGGAAAAGTCTTACCAGATTTGTAAAGAAACGAACATTCCCTGTACACTGCTCTGCAAGTGACAAATTTCCTTTAGAGAACAGCAGCTTGTAGGATATTGTGTGCCCGAGTACACAACAAAAGCAGAATCAGAAAACATCAAATGCTTTTTCAAATTCCTATTTAGAGAGAAGGAAAACATGCAATTATTTTACCCAAATCAGTCACCATGGCAGCCTAAGCCCCTTGACTCTGTATGGCCACTGTTTATAAATGTAAATGTACATTCATTTCCCACAGTTGTTTGGTATTTTATTACCTGCCACTAAGAGGGGAAATAAAGTTTTCATTTAAGTGTGGAGGGTTCTCACCTGTGAAAGCACGTGTGGCCTGAAAACCAGCCTCCTGCATACTGCTCCTGGACAAGCCTGTGCCCAACTCTCAAGCTGTCCTGTTGAGAGTAAGCCGCCCGGGCAAGGCCTCAGGTCACTTCCATCTTAGCTCGTCGGAGTCCATCGCTTGGCCCTCACTGACTCTTGGTAACATCTGAGGCCCACCTGCCTAATCCTACACCCTGAGCGCAGGTGGAACCTGGGGCGGCACCCAGTCCAGCAGCACCTAGGGCACACAGGCACGTCAGCCGTCCAGCCAGAGAGTGGAGGCCATGATGAGCATGGCAGTGAAGGAGGCTGTCCTGCCAAGACCTGCTGTCCTGCCTCAGAGCCAGGGCCTCCTCAGCCGGCAGCGTCCTGCACAGGTCTCTGCTGCTCCAAGAGAGCTCAGTATGGTCTCAGCTGCAGCTCTGCACTCGTCTCTCCCCTTGCTGAAATTAAAAAGAAAGAGATCACTTTTCTGATGACCTGCTGGAACACTGCATTAACAGACCCATAGACAAAACTGACAAGGAACAAGATACTCAGGGTCATGTTCATGACCACACTGGGCCCCAGGGGAGGCTGCAGCACCATTCCCCCAATGCCTGTGGGAGGACAGGGGGCTGCACCTGCACCCGGAACGAGACGGAACAAGACAGCACTGGCTGCTCTGCATCCCTCTAAGAACAGTCACAAGGTCACACAGCACTCAGAAGTCCTTCCTCAGGCCACCCACAGTTCCTAGACGCTCTAAAGAAGAAACCCATTTTCCCAAGCTGGTTCGTGAGGTCTGTATCCACTGTCATCAGCATGCCAGGAAGTACTTGGTTTGAGCGGTTTTAAAAAGTAACTCTTAGGGGAGAAAACAAATGCTACGTTACTTTTTTTTTAAAGCATGGGAAGGAAAAGCAAATTTAATCTATAAACTGTTCCAAATATATTACATTATAATAGAAGCATTTTACAAAATGTATCAGGTATTTTTAATGTTGTTATACTACACAACAAACAGCATTAACAACAAGAAGGTTAGAAGCCCAAAGGCCCAGATTTTAAAAACAATCCTAAATATGACTCTCCAGTATTGGAGAAAAGAAACCTTTTCTGCTACTACCACTTCATCCTACTCAATTTATAAAGAAATTTTTGAAAATGTAAACTATTCAGTAGGTGGCAGGGAAGGAAGTACAGCAGGGAGAAGACAAGTAATAACTCTCTAGCATCTTAATACACTGATGGGACAGTGATGGACTTGCAATGGGGTTGGGGGGGGACTTCAAAATATGGGTAAATGTTGAAACCACAATATTGCTCATTTGAAACCTTCATAAGATTGTATATCAATGATACCCTAATTTAAAAAAAAGTAACCTATTCCTCTTTTTCACCATGGAACTAGAGAAAAGAAAAATAATTTAAGAAAACAGCACATAAAAGAAAGGAGCCCTCTGTTAAAACCCTCTTGTTGCTGCAAATACAATATAAGGTAATAAAGTAAACATCACTGGTACAGACTAACTCTAAGGAAGACCTTACGCATTAATGAAGCACATTAATTAAAGAAATTCAATTGTATTGCCTTGCTGTACCTGCAATAACAATCTCAGTTAATATGGTGTAGCCTAGTAGGAGTCCTTAAGTTTAATGAATAGGTAACAAATTTATTTAATTAAAAATCATTTATGTAAATGGTGGTTTTGAAGTGTTTGAAAATGTGAGAAAATGTGAGAGTAAACATTCAACATAAATGATTAACACATACAATATCAGCACCCCGAGTCCTACACCAGCTTCTAAACTAATCATATGTGCCAATCTTACAATATTAGGAAATGCAATTGTCAGATAAAAACAGAAGTCCACCTGCCCTTGATTTTCTTTGCCCTTTTCTATGATGCTTTCAGTGCACAGAAATGCTAGACTTTATTTGTTCAAATAATCTTTCTTTGAACTCAGATACAAAATGAAATATGATGAGGTTTTGTTGTTTGAGAGGTTTTTGTTTATATATTTTTGTTTCATTGCAAAAGTTAAGCCACTTCACTTTGTTAAAAAATCAAGCTATCCTATATTATATCTTAAATGCCAGAGAAAGATTGAGGCAGACGTGTGTAGAAGCAGAAGAAACAACACACGTTTTTTCCTTTACTGTCTTTATCACACTTACCAATTCTTAACTCTACTTCTTCTGTAAGATTGGGATGGGGGCATAGGTGTGCTAACAGCTCATTTTGAGGTCTCAGGCATGGTACTGGCCAGAATTTTTAGGGCCTGATATGTGCAGTTCCCAAAAAAAGCCAGACAAATGCATTATGTTATCTCATTAATGAGTAACTTGCATATTCCTACATATACTCAGAGTCTCCTTTTATGCAATTTTCAAGTTAAAATGGAACTATAATGGCCATAAAATGTTTTCTTCTTAACCGCTAAAAGCACAAATAAGGTACCCTTTCTAGAAATACACAAGAAAGAGGTGGGGTCCCCAGAACTTAGAAGCTTTGTTCAGTGAGGGACGAGGGACCCAACTACGAGGAATAGCGCTGGGAAACCAGCCATACTCAGTAAGAAAATGTCAGATGATACAGTGGGCGGGGGAACAGACAAAGCACATCTGCTTTCACAGCTTAGTAACCAACCGAGACCTAGCCAGAAGGCAGAGAAACTACACAAACAGTTCCTGCCCCGCTCATCCTTCCCATCTTCCACTCTTTGTAGCTCCTTGCTATAACCTGCCACCTACCTTCCATTCTCAGCTCAAATGACCCTCTGAGATGCCTCCTTGATCATCCCCCGGGCTAACCTGGGAGCCAGGTGCCCACCTTCCCAGTGCTGGCCATAGTTGTGGCTGTATGCCTGATGGCTCAGCACCCATTTCTCCCGCAGGACTACAAGTGCCATGAGGACAAGCACAGTGACTGGCTGACTCTCCACTTCCCCTCAGCACCTAACACACTGCCTGGCTTCCAATAAGTATTCAGAAATACATTGTTACTGAAAGAATGGATGAGTGCACGAACGGCAGAGTGTTCAGAGAGGTGAACCAGAAGGGCTCAGCAAACTACTTGTAGAGCACACCCATCCCAACCCATGGACTGACAGGCAGAGCTCCCTGGGCTGAGAGGCTGGGCTGCAGCTCTGGCCTGGGCCTCTGAACTGGTAGGGCTTTTCCTACCACCTCACTACTCAAGATGAGATGGTGATACAAGCAATGGTTCCTACCGCACTCACACTTCAGAGAACGTCCTCTCCGTAAAGGCCCCTGGAGGTGATTGCTTTAAATAACCCTCAAACCACAGAAAGAAAAATCTAACCCCATAGCGGTTTAAGTAGCTTAGCTATAAAACTAGTGTGCAGAAAAGCCAGGACTAATGCCCCTAAACTGAAATGCCTTAAGCCTGATAATACTCAAATCAGGAAAATCATGGGGGAAGAAAGGCAACTTACCAAGGACACAAGGTCAGAGTAATCCTGAGGCACACATTCAAGAGCCCCTCTACAGCACGCATACTGCCATCATCCTGAATGAATACACACACACACACACACACACACACACACACACACGTTCTATTTATACTAGGAAGATGGGCAGGACAAATAAGGAAATAAATTAATTCAATACTGTACTTTAAAAATGTCATTAAGTTCCTCCCACAGCAGACCAACAGTCACTAAGGAAATAGAACACAGAGAGCAGAAAACACCCCACAGGAAAGGGCAACTTTTAAAAACACAAACACCTACAACCCCTAAGCAAATAAGTGTGGAATATGTTTGTTTTACCACTTATTCATAAAAACTTATATGAAATGCAGTCTTCCTAGGAATCACTGGGGAATGAGAACTTAACTGCATTAAACAAATCCCAGCTTTAAAAGTACACTGCAAAAATAGACATATGCAATTCAGGAAACACTAGTGTCACACACTGGGTACAGAGGCTAAAACCCAACAGAGAAGTGAAACAACTTTTTTCCAAAATCTAATAACATTCAGAAAATTTGTATGCATAAGGAATAAATGCTGCAGTTACATTTTTTATTTCCTCTCACTGCGGACACACTGCTTCACTGACCAAGTGTTGGTTACCTAGGTGACAGCTTGACTGAGCAGCCAGTCAGGCTCCAGGCCATAGGGACTCTGGGAGCTGAGGCCCCAGGCCTGTGTCTGATAACCTGTCACTACTGTGCCCACCAGAGAAGTCCCAGGGAGAAAGGGACACTGACAGATGAAAAGATGGCTCTAGCCTTGACAAACTCAGGCACTGGTGTAAAATTCAAAACATAAAAATTAAAATATGAAGAGTTGTACTGAACTGCTTACCAAAAAAATCTCACTACTGGCTGGTTAAGTTCAAAGTGGCAATGGACTTTTAGTGAGACAGATGGGAAGAAAAAGTGGGAAAAAGAAACCAGAGATCATTTCCAACCCCAGCTTGATGTCACACTTCTTCACTTTACCTCATAAGCAGAAAGTATGGACCTTGCCAAGATTTCCTACCAGCAAAAAGAGAGGCCCTGAGAACAAACATGGCCCCTGCCCTCACCACAGCCATGGGGTGGAGAGCATGAGACAGATTGACCCCCCCCACCCGGTTCTAGGTCCACTAACAGGATCTGATCAAGTCCTCAGCCTGTCAGGCTCCTGTTTCCCCATTTGTAAAGCAAGGAGGTAAAACTCGAGGTCCCCTATGATCTGAGTGTGACCCTGTGACTGTGTCTCTGGTCAAGGGAAATGGGACTATTTTATGATTCAGGGGTGTAAAACAATTCATAGCTATTACAAAGCAATCTCAAAGCCATCCTAGCCCTGGGTAGCTTGGTGGGCTCTGGGTACTAGGTCACCATTTCAGGAAGCAAGTGCAAAATTTAAAATACTCATTTCAAATACACACACAAGCTGCAAATAGGAAAAAGCAGCAATTATATTAGAACATCCCTTAAAATGTCACCTTGGCAAATACAACACTTGATAAATCCTAAAGGATCTATAGTCTAATACGCTACTCAAACCAAGCTGAAGACAGTTTCCTCCAAAATAATTTAGTAGGATAATTGTCCCTAATGCATAAGGAGGTCTATAACTATCTCCTCCTTACCCTATCTAGGCATGGAGGAGGTCTTTAGGGACCACCCACCCACCGTTTACTCTGTGGAGGAGCCTGAGGCTCAGGGAGGAAGGGAAGTGTTGAAGGTGACAGTGGTGACAAAGGCAGGTGTCAATCTAGGTCCTACTCCATGTTCTTCCACACACACAAACTGGCCAAAAGAAGGAGCTGAGATGGGCACACAATGCACACCTATACCACTGCCAGCAGGGAGAAGGACACTGAGACCATTTCCACCCTCCCAGGACCAAACTGGGCCATATCCACAGCACAACATGCCCACATGGAAGGCAAGGAAGGTCAGGGGCTTGGTGCAGAGTCAGACAGTCCTCGGGGGAG